GACTCTTCCCGAGAGAAACGGTGATGGAGGAGCCTGGAGAAATCGATAACCGGAAGCTCGCTGTCGCCGTCGCTAACGACGGGATCAGCCTTGGCTTCCGGCCTGACGTATCGAGGAGGGACGTCAGCCGGGTTTGCGATGGAAGCTGCAAGAGCTTGGACGTTCGGTACGTCAATGGACGTTCCCAGACGCTGAAAGCTCGGTTTGGCCATCTCGCGAGGCAAGCGCGCGCACACACCGCTTACGAAGACTAACACCTCTCAGCTCGGCTGGTTTAGGCAGGTAGCAGCTTCGACAACATTTATAGAGAGAGAAGTTTCGCCACCATTACTGTCTAGCAATAAACTTACCAAGAAGCTTATCTTTTTGTACTTGACTCAGTCTTCTCAACAGTCATCGTCCTACAATTGAAGAAAACTCTAGTAGTTCACTGCGACCTTTTTGTAACAGCTAACTTAGTAAATTTTTTTTTTTAAAGTATCAGCTAACTTAGTAAAAATTTGATGATTCATTATAAAAATAAAAGTAAGAATTGGAGTCTTATTTTCGTAACTTATTTTTATAAAAATTCTTATCACTAAATAAATGACTCTCTCATTTCTATTGATCCAAGTGTGTGACATCTTATCTGCGATTTTTGATACAGAAAATGTACGTAGTTCCTTCCTCCGATCAAGTGTCTCCCCTAAGGAATCATATTATAATATAAGTTTTTTATTAATCAATAATTATAATTAGAATCAAATCATATTCATGATATATTTTACCTAATAAAATAAAATAATATATTTTAACAATAATTACTTAGATATGTCTTTTGGTGTGACCATGGAGCTAAGGATAGCAGGACTGATCGGGACAGCAAGAGCTACTCATTATGAGATGAAGAAGGACTTCTCCTTTACATAGCTCTGCAGTTTCTTCGAGTCATAGTCCAGTCGTTATTGATCTACACAAGCAGCAAAACATGACAGTTTCAGCAACAGATTGTAGTTATCACGACACAAATGTGTCGACGTGGAAAAACAGAGCACTTCTTTGTCTGATAACATTGATTGATTAAGAGGTACAACCATAAGTAGTAGACCATGAAATGGGCGATCCTTCTAGTGACGGTTAAAGCATCAAGAGAAGTCCACTTCACAAAGTAATCAGTTCAAATGTTTTTTCCCAGAAGTTCCTAATAATGGCACCAGAATGACATCCACCACATAGCAGACGGATGAAATTGGCCAAGCAGGATTTCATTATCAAACTGATATTTGTGCTTCTTTGAACATATCATACTAATGCCTCACTAATTTGGCATCGCCATCAGCGGTGAACATTGAAGCTACAGGTAGAGCGACAGCTGGCGTCTCAATAACTTATTAGTTTTAAGTTTGACTAGGTAGATGCTTCTTAGGATGATTCTCTTGAGTTTGAATTCCTCACGTCTTGCAAATCAGATATGTAAGCTTAAACTTATATTAAGATAGGTTAAGATCATGTGAATAGCCATAGCCATAGTGAAAAATAAATAGAACATCATCTGCCATAGAGGTGTAGGGATGATTTTATCTCATGCCAAGTCATCAGCCGTAGAATACAAAATAAATAGAGACTGACACCTAAGTAGGGCTCCATGTAACTAGCTCCGAAATAACACCGTAGTGCGTCCTACATCAATAACTGATAATAATCATCCTATCTTATTAAGATCAGAGATCAAATTGATCAAACGGTTAACATGATATAATCCCAGTCCAACCAAAAAGAAGGCCCAAGGATCAAATATAAAAAGAAATCCATCAGCTGACGTTGGGGGGCGACTCTTTATACACTAATTCAGTCATACAACTTACGTTGCTATCTTCTTCCCTTTGCTAACCTAAGTATTGAAGGGGCCACACCGGACAACTCCTAAAGTTGGCTTATCATACAGGATCACCAATTACCGGAAGACACCCAGATGGCCTAGCCTCCGGGGAGGAACCTTGCAACTATAAAAATCCTAATGCACTCATCTGACCATCATGAACTAAGTCCTCATCGATAGAATGACTTTTGACTGAGCAACCTATGTGATCTCATCTCACTAAGTTTTTATTATTTTAGGAGGGTATTGACTTCGATGGTTGACGAAGCTCATAAGATCTTAACTATATAAGTTACTGGGCTCATCAATGTGGGAATCACAATGATGCAACTTCATGACCCAATAATAAATCAATGGTTGATAGATGGACGATGTTTTTATTTTGGTATGTTCACGTTAGTGTGAAGATGATAATCTAATTATTATCATTATTTGCACTCTTATGCTTATACTTCATTATTAGGTTCTTTTATTTTCTTTGGGAAAAAAGTAAATAATTTATAACTTTATTTATTTAAAAAATAAAAAATATTTACATCTAATAATGAACATTCAGATTTATTACTTATGCAACGATACATTAACAAATCCGAATAACTCAACAAACACTAAGTCAATACACTTCAAATATACAAAGATTCGATACTTATATAATATTATCTCGAAACATACTTATTATCAAGTTCAATCAACAGATCATGAACTTTCTAACATTAGAGACTTTTATAGCTTGAGTCTTTCTATGAGCCTCCTCCCTTCTAGTTTTGTGGAGAAATAAGTTTTCATAAATTCTCCGTAGCTCATCGACATATACTTCGGCTTGCACCCCTTCCGATCTCTGCAAAAGGACTAACCACTGAATCTTCTCTTGGCCCATGGAAAGTAGCGATCGAGTAGCGCTCTTTCTTGGCATTTATTATCGCTCGATGCTCAACGCTTTTGTACACGCCGTTGCTCAATATCTATTCTAAAAGTCTTTTGTTTTTGTTAGAAAATATTTATAGAAGAGACTGAAAAAAAAAATCAAAATAATAATTTTACATTAATAAATATTGAGAGAATCTCGTAATCTGTAAACGTAATTTATTTTTGATTTGAATTAGTATCCGACATGATTGATATATGTTGATTCTGACTAATTTGAGTCGAGTTAATGACCTCGACGATATCACCGATGTTGGCGATGAGAGCGCCGGGGAGTGGCTTCACGGGGTACCAATCCCCCCCCTTCCTGATATGGAGTCCTTCAACGTCGTTCACCTGTAGGAGCAACGTCAAGCTGCTGCCGTCCGTGTGTGGCGAGAGGCCCAACACCTCGTCAGCTCTTGGACATGGGGGATAATAGTTGATCCTCACTGCCTGCGTTTGGTCCTGAAATAGAGTAGAGAACTCCTCCGGTGCGACCCCCAGATTCTTCGCCATCACCTCCAGCAAAGTTCCTGCCACGCTCTTCAGCTCCATGGAGTAGCAAGAGAGAGAGTCTCTGACAGCATGAAGCAGCAGCAAAGGACGTCATATACGTACGTACGTAGCTAAACCGCTGAGTAGATGACAGCACAAGTAGTCGAGATAAACCTGAAAGTGAGAGGTTGAGCTGGCCAGAGATCGATGTTCCTCGACTGCAGTGGTCGAGTTATGAGGGTCAGAATGTCCGCCCAGTCCAGCTTTTGGTCGTCAGACACGACGAAGGCTTGGCCGTAACCTTCCAAGCTGTTCGGCAACAGTGCAAATGCC